CAAAGTCTCGAGTCAGTTCATCTTTGTTGACTACATAGCCTATGTATAGGCCTCCATTAATTATTTTTTAAAAATAAAAATAATAATATGTAGCTTATTTGAATAGATTTATATCTAGAAAGAATATCTTGCAAAGGAAAATTATTAAGTATCTTCTGGTCTGTAGTAGTAACTGTAATATAGATTACCGATATACATGTAGGCCCTAGGTAGTAATACATGTATCTGATTTTTTCCTCTGTCCTTGACCAGTCAACTGCTAATTAATGTAAACTGTTTAACCTCATTTCAGAGAGCCAGGCTAACACTCTCTTCACTCTCTCCTAATTTCAATTTTGCTTTACTTTAACTGGATCTAAATGTCAATGTGGTTATACAATGCACTTTTTAAAGAATCGAGACCTAACGTATATGAAGCATCATGCCGAGAATATTAACCTTATTAAATATTTTAGCTCTTTCTTTCTTGGCCCCCTCTTCTCTCTCTCTCTTTCTCTCTCTCTCTCTCTCTCTCTCTCCCTCTCGCTCTCTGTGTCTCTTTCTCTCTCTCTCTCTCTCTCTCTCTGTGTGTGTGTGTGTGTGTGTCTCTCTCTACTACTACTACTTACACTACTACCACCCATTTCTCTTTATCCTTCTAGATACATGATACATGTATTATCTACGTGTGGAGCACATTTAATTGATGGTACTTAATAATACATGTCGCTTTGGAGCTGGGTTTCTTTGTTACGATTATATCATTATTAATTATCGGTTAACCATCTGCAAGTACTGGTGATAGTACTGATAGGAGAGTGATTTATCGAGGATATCGGCAATCCCATGCTTCCCGTTTTCTGCATTACTGGTAGGTAGGCTACATGTACCGCAATAGAAAGCTAAAACGACAATTTATAGGACCTACATGACCGCTTCATTACGTGAAGTACATGTATCCTGATTTTTTAAATTTTAATTTGCATTCTCTTTCTCAATACCATGTGGTTATTCATGATGTTGTACTCAACTTTCCGCAGGAATTTGACAAGTTTACTATTTTCTTTCTTTCTTTTTTGCGCCTTTATTCCATCCATCAATGTTACGTAGACGTAGACGTTCTTGTCGGACACGGGTTTTCCCCTCCTCACAGTAGTTCTATCTACTCCATTTTAACGAAAGAGCCCGTGCTATGACTACGATGACGTATGTGTATTATTACATTCATTCTTAATATTTTATTTGTTTTTGTATGTCATGCGGTTTTGGCGGTGTAGTCTGACATTTCTTTCTGGAAGCATGAAGCACTATTTTCCTACTGCAATATGGTCTCTACCACTATTTTCTACAAAAATATTCTACTGATAATTTCTTCAACAGTCCTCTGATTCTGAATGAATTTATCCATCGCCTCCTGGGGGGGGGGGGGGGGCTCTATTTATATCGCCCGATACATACCGTAGTTCGTAGTTGCAAAACTAGATCTACATAGAATCAACAAAAAAAGTTGTCATTTTCCCAGATATAAAATTGGAAGAAAGAAAATGTGGCATCTTACTTAAACTATACTGACTACCCATGGCAGACCTCGCCACTCAAACTCCTGTAAGGAATCCAAGTCCAAGGCAGCGAACATGAGTTTATTAACCAGGGAAAAAAAGGAGGGAGGGAGGGCAAGAAGAACACATGAAGAATAAAAACACCTCCTTACTCTTAGCAGTCTTAGTATGAGTATGAGGAGAACCAGTTGCATGTTTAAAATCCTGATTAAACAGCTGCAGCACACTCAACATGGGAACAGACAAGTAATACTTTTCATTTTCAGCGCAGGTCACAGCAGGCTGAATGTGCTTGGGTACGTCAGGAAGCTAACGATTGGTCAGACAGAGATGTGCCCGTACAAATACAACCCGGAACCGCACACCATCTGCTTGAGAAATGTCCAATACGAGACAATCCCAGGGCAGCCATATTATGGTCAGAGCAGGTGTCACTTTCTTCAGACAAGCTTTCTGTGATTCCATGGCAACCTGGAGTGTGGTACATTGACAGCCTGCTGCATAAATGAGGTCAGAGGACATCTGGTGTTGTGTGAAAAACGAAGATTGGAAGAGTAAAAAGTTGAATGGCTTTCAGATTTTTGAAAGAACTGTCGCCTCCTCTTTCCTGCCTCTTCCTCCAAGCCTTCAGCCTCTACTTTTTTTTGGTCCTGTCATTAAAAAATGGGTGACCTTATTTAGGCCACACTGTGGCCTAAATAAGCTAAACCCTCCTCCCTTACCTTATTTAGGCCATATGTGGCCTAAATAAGCACTCCCTTAAAAAATTCCTTCATCACGTATTATTTTCCATGTCAATGTATTGATCTTTTGTTTCTTAGCTATGAAATCATGTATGTTCACGTAGTGTAATTTCTATGGAGATATATGTGAAAGTTTGATTTCTTGAAGAAAGGTTGTGTTTATAACTTTGTGTGTTACTCAGTTATTTCCTGTGTTGTGGTTCAGGCTTCCCCCCAGTCCAAATATTTTTGTCTTGTCTCAAGTGTTCTGTTTAGAATAAAAGGTCTATGATATCACCCCTCTCTTTTTTTCAATGCCAATGATTTGTTATATTATTACAGTACAGATTATTTGAATTAATTTGACAGGAATAGGAGCATTGGGTGAGAAAAAAAAATGATCTAAAGCCGTAAATGGAACAAATCGTGTTTCACTAGTTACATCACGGCCAGATGACATCATGGCTCACACGTGAGCTTTTAAAAGTTTTATGTGAGCCATGATGTTTTGTTGGCATCTTGCAGAATGACCCTGTTGTGCTCCCCAAGTGGAGCATTCTTGAACTCCCATGTTTCAGAACTAAAAAATAACAAAACAGAAAAAAAAGCAGCAACTGTTGGGTAGTGATTTAGTGCTTTGCCTTCATACACAGAAGACACGAGTTCAATTCCTTTGTGGGGAGGGTTTTTAAATTAAGTATCTCTGCCTGTTTGCAGGAACATCGCATCTCTCTCAGCTCAGGTCAAAGCAGTCCACCTCCTAAATAATCTAACTGTGTTGATGGGGATGTAAAACTACATCTTATGAAACAGAATACGACGTTATAATTCTTCCATAGTTTGACTGTTGTACTTTGACTTTTTCTTAAGGAACAGAATGTATGTGGTTAAGGAATATAATATCCATCGGAACAGAGTACACTATAGCTTCTCATTAAAAGAAAAGGCAGTCCCCCATCCCTCCAAACCGAAATAATTAAAAAAATCAAGAGAAAATTCTGATCCAAATCAGGATCTGATTTCTACAAGTCCAATCCATGACCAATCCTGAGGCAGCATTTGGCACAAAATGCTGCTCCATAAAAATATAAACTACAAGGGCAGGTGGTCTGGTTTGGTTTGCTCCTTCTTTCTTATCAAACGTCTATTGTCCTTATACTCCCTTTTTGTGTTCATTACTTTCTTGTAACACTATGACCTCTGATCTCCGGCACTAACATGACTAAATTATGACCATGTTGCAAGTGTTATAAAATTCTTACTAAAACAAAATTATAAGGGCAAGCATTCAAACCCAATCCTCCAGTCAGGCTGCTTACTACTCCGACTTACTGAAGCCCAAAGCAACAAAAAAGACAACTCACGACAGATATTTATATTAATGAAATGTATTTTATTTTCAATGTTAATGTGCAATATCACAATGCTGTGCAAACATTCTATCATAGAAAAAGACTACAAACAAGGATGCAACTACGATCATTCGTCCAGCGTTTTCGATTTCAATCTTGAGTCAAATCGTTCTTGGATTTTCTGTTTCTTACTAGTTTTCACATCCATGTAGTGTGTCTGTGCAAACTTCATCTCCTCCACCAACTGAACAACCTTTTTCTGAGGAGAAAAAAAACAACAACAAAAATGTCTTCATAAACAGACAGAGACCCCCATCACGCCATCTTCCCAAAGGAAAAATACTCCTTTCTAATATATATATCCACTGAAAATGTTGACAGAAAAAAATGGATGACTAAACTTTTCCTACACGTATCTGGTTCACAAATTCCATATATCAGTATGTAGGGCATAATGAAAAAGTCTTGTTATTGGACTAGACGTTACACAATACATGGATGTGGTGCCCACATTATTGTTGCTCCTGTAAAATGCCCAGACAGACATAATAATATATGTACAGTAAATGACGCAACCCCTCAACTTGCTCAAATTCCTACCACCATGAATGATAAAACGATGACCCTATAAATAATTAAGTTAATTAAGCATAATCAATACCCCCCCCCCTCACCTTCCTCCCAATACATGCAGAATAACAATTCTTGCTTTTCATGAAGTACTGCTATAAACTTATATGCAACAGAAAAAGAAACTAAGTTAGCCACAAAAAAAGGGGTCACTCAGAACAGTTAATTAATAAAACTGCTATGAGACTTGAAGATGCATGCTTATGAGTCACCACTAGTGCTGTTGAATAAAAAAGTTTTCAAAATCTGCATACAATATATTCATTTGTTCATTGAAGTCAACCTATATGTAACAACACGACGGAATCAGGCGCATGTCAATTTTCAGGCATATGGAGTATCATTGGTACAGTCAAAAAACCTGTTTATCTTGAATAGGAGTCCAGATATTATCAATTGAAGGAATGTGAGTCACCTGGTGTCAGATGTAAAATTAGCTAGAAAATGGTCGTCAAAACCTAGTGACTTCCAAAGCTTGACTGTTCTTGGAAACTGCACATTTACATTTTTTGGCGTCTTTGCTTAATATTTTTCAGTAAAACCACACAGAGATGTGTTTTTAAAAGGACACAAAAGGAGATAAGCCAAACCAAAAATGTTTTTGAAAAATTTGTTTTCTTTATCCTCATTGTTTGACGAGCGTCAGATTTCACTACGATATATATATCTATATATATATATATCGTAGTGAAATCTGACGCTCGTCAAACAATGAGGATAAAGAAAACAAATTTTTCAAAAACATTTTTGGTTTGGCTTATATATATAAACGGTAATACTGGGCCAAGAGTTATAATCAGCTGAAAAGACAATAACAAAAGCATTGTTTTATGGTTTTAAAGGTATTCTAAAACAATTTCTCACAGAAGCACTATAAAAAAAACCAACTTTGAAAGCAGCATCCCAGAGCTCGATACAATGAAATGATAGAGGCCACAGAATACAAATAGGAGTCGTGACCCCTTATAAGGTAAAACAATTTTACATTAACACAGGTCCAATCCTGAAAACTTGACACAGGGCACTGTGTGGTCAACCCTTATGACTGTGAATGTTGGACAATTACCATCATAGAGAGAGTGAAAATAAAAGAGAAGCAACAGAAATTTGTTTTTTTCTTAGGAGACTTTTGAGAATTTCAGAGAAGGAAAAGAAATAAAATAAGGCAGAACTGAAAGAAGCTCATAGGGTTCACTCACTAATAAGAACAATAAGGAAGCAACAAATGTAGTTTCTAGGACACTTGAATCAACATAAAGGCTTTGAACATCTTGCTCTCACTGGAAAAATAGAATGCATGGGTAGACCCAGAGCTGCTTATTATGAAAGCCTGAACAGATTGGTTACCACAAACACCAGGATAATATATGTTTTTTGAGAGCACAGGAGTGGGGAAACGAATGGAGAACCATTATCCCTGATGTCTGTTTCAGATCAGGCACTTTATGATGAACACAGGCGATAAGTGGTTATGTGAAGGATGCTACACAAACACATAATTTTAGTGCAACATCTTTGCAAATCTTTCCTTCCTTCATTATACCTGTACCCAGTTTGCAGTGTTAAGTGCTCCAAGTTTGTTATGACAAATGGATATTTTTGTATTAAGTGGAAGGGTGTCTTCATACTCACCCCCCCCCAAGCAAAATCAAATCCAAACTTTCTTTTCAATTACACAGAGGAAACTTTGATTATAGTTCAATAAAAACTTACTGCCATGGAGTAGTTGCGTTGCTGTCTCGACTGTTGACCCAACATCAATTCTGTTGCCCGACCATCTGATCATATGAGATAACAAAATGTGTTTGAGCAAGGGACAGTACATTATTAATAATTATTATGTTTTATATATATGAATATAACGCTCTTCAAGTATCTGTGAAAAGTAATAAATCAGCCAAATTCTTTAAAAGTGATGGCATGAACTTGTTAGAATGTCTGAACTTTATAAAAGGATTTAATTGAAAACTACATGCTGACACCCTGTGTGTTCCAAAGAGATTGCCCACATGATACAGTTGGGAACAGATAACACAAACACTAAATAGTCGAATCACATAGAGCTTGTACAATTTGGCATTCCCCGACTTAAATCTCTTTCATGGTTCCATCAGTATAGCTGAATAATGAATGAGCCGAACACACTTGTCAATCTCCGACTTATCTGGATTATGCCTACACGACTGTCTATAAAAGCAACCATACTAAGGAATCCACACTTCTCTCAAACAGTCTGGATCTTTCTTACTATTTCAGTTCAGACACTGGTCACAAAAACTAGCTCTTGACAATTGGTTTGGTGCAAATGGAAAGCATAAAACACATGCTCTGGTAATGATCTCTGTATAACATTGAGCTTCTGATTCAAATTATATCAAACCTTGTGACAAATTATGTATTTTACAATACAAAAATTCTTGTTTCAACCCTTCAGTTTAGTTTTAGCTTTAGTTGAGTTTTTACGGCGCTCGCAACTCCATAAGGTCATATGAGCGCCAAGGGGTGGATGTCAACAGAGAAATCCAAACAGGGAATCAAGCTTACTCTGCTCACCTCAGTAGCTTCAACAGCACAAAGTCTGATGCGACTATCAAGGAACCCCGGAAATAGCGGGTCACAAGAGAGTGACAAACATACAAAAGAAGTAGAGGAAAATGACGATAGTAAGGATTAGGAAAGAAAAAGCAGCAGTTCCCCGTATGCAGTTCAGGCACAGTTATGAACATGACATTGATCAATCAGCCCATTTACAATTCTACTGAGCATAAGAACATGTTAATGTCCCCCCTTTGGAATAGCCTAAAGACACTTCAGTCAGTAGTCAGTAGCACTGCCCTGGGG